ATTTTATGTGTTTTTGGTGCAATTGTAAATGGGATAGATTCTTTGATTTCTCTTTCTGTTGCTTCATGGTTGGTGTATAGGAATGCAACTGATTTCTGTGCATTGATTTTGTATCCTGCAACTTTGCTGAATTCATGGATCAGTTCTAGCAGTTTTTTGGTGGAATCTTTTGGGTTTTCCATATAGAGTATAATGTCATCTGAGAAGAGTGAAAGTTTGACCTCCTCTTGGCCAATTTGGATGCCTTTTATTCCTTTGTGTTGTCTGATGGCTGAGGCTAAGACTTCCAATACTATGTTGAATAACAGTGGCAAGAGTGGACATCCCTGTCTTGTTCCTGACCCTGGGGGGAAAGCTCCCAGTTTTTCCCCATTGAAGATGATATTAGCATTGGGTCTTTCATATATGGCTTTTATGATCTTGAGATACGATCGTTCTATCCCTACTTTCTTGATAGACCTTCTTGAGGGTTTTTATCAAGAAAGAATGCTGTATTTTGTCAAATGCTTTCTCTGCATCTATTGAGAGGATCACGTGGTTCTTGTCCTTTCTTTTATTGATGTGATGAATCACTTTGAGTGTTTTACGGATATTGAACCAGCCCTGCATCACGGGTATAAATCCCACTTGGTCGTGGTGAATAATTTTTTAATGTATTGTTGGATCTGGTTGGCTATATCTTGTTGAGGATTTTTGCATCCATGTTCATCAGGGAAATGGGTCTATAGTTCTCCTTTTTAGTGGGGTCTTTGGTTTGGAATCAAGGTAATGCTGGCTTCATAGAATGAGTTTGGAATTTTTTGTTCCATTTCTATTTTTTTTGGAACAGTTTCAAGAGAATAGGTGTTCACTCTTCCTTAAATGTTTGGTAGAATTCCCTTGGGAAGCCATCTGGCCCTGGAGTCTTGTTTTTTGGGAGATTTTTGATTACTAATTCAATTTCTTTACTGGTTATGGGTCTTTTAAAATTTTCTATTTCTTCCTGTTTCAGTTTTGGTACTTATATGTTTCTGGGAATTTGTCCACTTCTTCCAGATTACCCATTTTATGGGCATATAATTGCTCATAATATTCTCTTATTGTTTGTATTTCTGCTGTGTTGGTTGTGATGTCTCTTTCATCCTTAATTTTATTTATTTGGGTTTTTTCCTTTTTCTTGTTGATGAAACTAGCTAGTGGTTTATCAATTTTGTTAATTCTTTCAAAGAACGAGCTTCTGGTTTCATTGATCTGTTCTATTGGTTGTTGTTGGGTTTTTTTGTTTTTTTGGTTTTTTTTTTGGTCTCAATAGCATTGATTTCTGCTCTAATCTTTATTATTTCCCATCTGCTGTTGGTTTTGGGTTTTATGCGGTGTTCTTTTTCCAGCTCTTTAAGGTGTAAGGTTAGGTTGTGTATCTGGGATCTTTTTTTTTCCTTCTTTAGGAAGGCCTGGACTGTTATATACTTCCCTCTTATGACTGCCTTTGCTGCATCCCAGAGGTTTTGGTCTGTAGTGTTATCATTCAGAAACCAACATTTCTAATCACATTTAAATCAGGTTTCATATTAAGCCACTTTTATGCACCTTATAGTGACTGACAGCTTCTCACCCCCTTGATCTTATTTTCTTTGGCAACTTAAAATATCACAGCTAATTGAGATATCTCCATAATTCATGTACCATACAATTCACCCATTTAAAGGGTACAGTGGCTGTTAGTATATTCACTGCTGTGTGTTTCTCTCCACAGGCAATTTTAGAATTTTTTCGTGCTCTCAAAAAGAAAACCTGTGCCCAATACAGTTCTGCCCTTACCCACCCACCATCCCCAGTCCCTGGCAACCACTAATCTACTCTCTAGGATTGTCTCATTCAGGACATTTCCTGTAAATGAAATCCTATAGTATGCGACTTTTTGTGACTGGATTCTTGTACCAGCATGTTTCCGAGGAAGTACTTCATTCCTTCTTTTGGCTGGATGATATTCCACTTCATGGTTAAAACCATGCTCTGTTTATTCAATTCATTAGTTTATGGACATTTGGGTTGTTACTTTGTGGCTATTGTAAATAACGTTATGAACGTTCATGTACAAATTTTCATTTGAACATATGTTTTCATTTATCTGGAGTATACATACCTAGAAGTGCAATTCTCCTATAGCTTTTATTTATGAAAACTTTCAAATGCATGCAGAAGTAGACAGAGTGGTATAGTGGCTCCCATCTACCACCCACACCACTCCCTTCCCTATGTGCCCATCATCCAGCTTCAACACTCACCAGCTCATGGCTACTCTTATTTCACCTACTGTGTTATTTCAAAGCAAATGCCAGACTTATCATTTCATCTATAAATAGTCCAGGATTTATCTTTAATTTTTTAAAACAATTTTTAATTGTGGGATGCCTGGATGTCTCAGTTGGTTGAGCGACCAACTTTGGCTCAGTTCATGATCTCACGGTTTGTGAGTTTCAGCCCCGCATCAGGCTCTGTGCTGACAGCTCAGAGCCTGGAGTCTGCTTCTGATTCTGTGTCTCCCTCTCTCTCTGCCCCTCCCCCACTCATGCTCTGTCTGTCTCAGAAATAAACATAAAAAAAAATTAAAACAAAAACAATTTTTAATTGATATACAATATTTTATTAGTTTAACCTAGTTATTTATATGCATTATGAAGTGCTTACCATGACAAGTGTAATTATCCTCTGTTACTGCACAAAGTTATCACAGTATTATTGACCATATTTTCTATGCTGTACATTACACCCCCATGATTTATTTATTTCATTACTGGCCGTTTATACCTCTTAATCCCTTCACCTATTTCATCCATTTCCCTGCTCCCCTCTGGCAACCACCAGTTTGTTCTCTGTATTTGAGTCTGTTTCCATTTTGTTTTGTTTAATTTTTTTATTTTCCACATGAAGGTGAATTCATACAGTCTTTGTCGTGCTCTGACTTATTTCACTTAAACATAATACCTTCTAGGTCTATCCATGTTGTTGCAAATGACAAGATTAGGGCTGAGTAATAGCCCACTGTATCTATATACCATATTTTCTTTAATCCATTCATCTCTTCATGGACATAGGTTGCTTCCATATCTTGACTACTGCAAATAATGCTACAATGAACATAGGGATGCATGTATCTTTCTGAACTAGTGTTTTTGTTTCCTTCAGCTAAATACCCAGAAGTGGAATAACGTTTGAGGAACCTCCCTCCATACTGCTTTCCATAGAGGCTGTATAAATTTGCATTCCCCCCCACAGTGCATGATGGTTTCTTTTTCTCCACATCTTTGCCAATACTTAGCTTTAATTTTAGCCATTCTGACAGGTGTGAGGTGCTATCTCATTGTGGTTTTGATTTGTACTTCCCTGATGATCAGTGATGTTGAGCATCTTTTCATGTTGGCCATTTGTATGTCATTGGAGAAAATGTCTATTCAAGTCCTCTGCCCTTTTTTAATCAGATTGGGGTTTTTTTGTTGTTGTTGTTGTTGTTGTTGTTATTGGGTTGTAGGAGTTCTTTATATATTTTGGATATTAACCCTTTGTCAGGTATATCATTTGCAAATATCTTCTCCCTTCCAGTAGGCTGCCTTCTCATTCTGTGATGCTTTCCTCAGCTGTGCAAAGCTTTGGTTTTCTAAAAGGATTTTGTTTTCTAAAAGGACTATTTAATTCTTTCAGTGAATCTTTATGGAGCTCCTGGTGTGTGCCCAGCCCTATGTCAGTCACTGGGAGACAGTGTCCAGATGAGCAGCACTCCCTGCCCTCAAGGCTCACTGGCCAGTGGGCAGTAGTGCTGACTAGGGCTGCCTTTGATCCCCCAGGTCCCTTGCCCACCCACTGCGGGGTCTGGCTGGTGCCTGGCGGGTGCTCTGCCAGGCATGTGTGTTACTGATTGGGACCGAGGGTGGCCTGGGCTCTGGGTGACGCCCTGCCATCCATCCGTAGGCCTGAGCCATAGTGGCATCCGAGGGCCACGCCGTCACCCTCCCGTGCTGCGCATGGTTCTGGAGGCGCTGCAGGCCGGAGAGCAGCGCCGGGGCACCTCGGTGGCGGCCATCAAGGTTTACATCCTGCAGAAGTACCCAACGGTGGATGTCCTCCGGCTCAAGTACCTGCTGAAGCAGGCCCTGGCCACCGGCATGCACCGTGGCCTCCTGGTCAGGCCCACCAACTCCAAGGCCAGGGGGGCCACTGGCAGCTTCAAAGTGAGCCTGCTTGGGCTGGGGAACGGGGTTGAGGGAGGTCACAGTGTGGGGGAGCTGGGCCCCAGGGTCTGAGCTTCAGTCCCAGCTCCTCCTCCCTGGCCTCTGTGTGCTGTTCCCCTGCCAAGAGGCCTTTCTCCTCCTGTCTTCTCTCTGTGTTTTTCCTGTGTCTTCTCAGAGGTACCTTCTCCTCCAGGAAGGCTAGGGCCCTGCCCCATCTAAGACCCCCACAGGGCCTCAGTCCCTGCTGTGTCCACCTTCATTCCCCGTCAGGTGTGTTCAGTGACCAGGGACCGTCTCAGCCGTGTTCATTTCTGGGTCCTTGGAAGAGCCCCTTCCTGGAATTCTTCACCACGGACAAGGCACACCCAACCATGGGCTCTAGAAGGTCACTGTTGGGTGTGTTCCCCATGCTCACTGGCTCCAAACCCCAGGTCTCCAAACCAGGGCTGGCACCTCCCTGGGCCATCACATCCTCCTCTTTCAAAGGGGAGGGTCCCAGAGGGGGGCCATCCAGGCACACCCAGAGCTGAGGGCAGATTTGGCATAAAATCAAGCCCCAGCATGGTGCCACCAGGAAAATCTCAGGGACCCAGATATGGGGTCTGTCTTATCATTGCTGGGCCGCAGCACGTGGCAGTTGCTCTAACAGTAACTGTAGAACACTGTGGAATTTTCTCAGCATACCATGTTCCAGTCCCTGTAGGTGGCTGAGGGCAGGAAGTCCCTCGTAGAACTCCTGTGTGGAGGTCAGAGCTTGGATACAAGCCATGCCAAGGCCAGGTGCATAGGGAATGGGGAAGGGGAGCAATACAGGGGCACTGGGGTTGCATGTGGCTGGGTTAGGCTGCAGGGCCTGGGAGCTAGTCAGGGAAGTGGGCTGAGGGAGGGGAGGAGGCAGGGAAGGAAGCCTGGTGTGTCATGTAGTTAGAAATGTGTGTATGCTGAGAGGGGATTTGTTTCTGGTCTTCACGGTAATGGGGAGCCATAAGATTTGGGGGGCAAAAGGAGGAATGTCCTTAGAGGCAGGCTCTAGAAGGACAGAGACCACCTGTTTGCCAAGAGCCTCCCCAACTGCCTACTGGTCACTCACTCCCTGAAGGCCCCATTGTAAAGATGGGAAGACTGAGGCCAGTGGGAAAAGAGAAGACTTCCTGAGTTGCACAGGAAGTTAGGAACTCTGAGCTATCAGACTTGGAAGGTCCACCCAAGGGGGAGAAAGGAAGCGGCAGGGAGGCATGGAGGTGTGAGGCATGAGGTGGGGGACAGGAAGGAGAGTCAGAGCCACAGAGATGGGAAAATGTGTGGGTTGGAGGTCATGGATGGGAGATTCATGAATTAGCATCTCAGAGGACTAGAGTCCGGGCTCCTGGTCAGTGCTGTGCGATTTACTCCCAGGAGCCTGGCTTTGAGACTTCAGGTGCAGGGTAGGGGAGCCTGCCTGCACCCTCCTGACACCCACCGGGGCAGGAGGGAAGAGAGCCTAAGGTGGGTCTAGGAGACTCAGGTCCTCCAGCTCCTAAATGGCCACACCCCTCTCTGGAAGAGCAGTGCAGGGATAGAATGTGTCTTCAGCCTCAGGCATTTTGGCCGTGGTCCTGCTCCCCATGCCCCTGACCACCTTCTCTGCCCCCTCCCTCTTTTGGAACAAGGCGTTCTCTCTGTGCCTCATGTGGGATGTAGGGGTATGAGACCCTGAGACCTCCTGCTCTCCATTCTACCCCACTCTCTCCTCTACCAGTTAGTTCCCAAGCACAAAAGGAAAGCCCAATCTAGGAAGACATCCGCCATGACAGCCCCCAGGAAACCCGGTGAGGCCAAGGAGAAGGGTCCCAAAAAACCAAGGGAGGCAAAGAAGGACCCTCCCAACCCAGGCGAGGTGAAAAGGGGACCCAAGAAGCCAAGAGAGGCGAGGACAGGTCCTACCAAACTGGATGCAGCCAAGGAGAAGGCTCCCAAGAAGGGCAGCCAGACCAAAGACCAAGAGGCAAGACTGAGTGAGGCCAAGAAGGCCTCCCAACAGCCAGACAAGGCCACGCAGGACCTTCCCAGTGCCACTGGCCCAAGAGGAAAGTCAAAGGTCAAAGGCAGAAGGAGCAACCAAGGTAGGTGTGTGAGTGGTGTGAGTGGAGGGCCTGGGCACAGGGATTTGTGACAGCCATTGGATGTGAGGTAGGACGGAGGGAGAGGCCTGCTCTGGGGAGGGGATTCCTTATCTAGTAAATGTGCCTGAGTGCTTGTCTTGACCTGGAGAGTTGGAGAACCCATGGTAGCTGTGGAGGGTAGGCTTAGGGAAGGGAGAACCCAGAGAGAGGAGGAGCCTGACTCCTCTGAGAGGAATCAGGGGAAGCTTCCTGGAGGAGGTGTCCCAGGGAGGACAACAGGCTGCGCAGAGGCCCAGAGGCATGAAGAGGGTAGAGCTTTTGAAGAAGTGCATATAGTTCGATGTGCAGCATGAGAAGCAGAAGGGAAAGACTGTGAAGGGCAGCTGGGAGTCCGGACTGTATCTGGAGGACAAGCAATAGCTATGGAAGGACTTTGGGGAACAGCTAGGGTACAGGGTATTGTTTTATTTATGTACATATGTATGTATGTGTGTATTTAAAAAAATTTTTTAACGTTTATTGTTGAGAAAGAAAGACAGAGTGTAAG